TCGATTGCTATACGGTTGAGTCTGTTAGGGAAAGATCGTGACATTTTTCATTTCGAAAAAAATAATTGCGTCCTTTGAGATAAAGATATCAAGTTTCATATTATCTGTTCTTGAATATTTCCTGTCAATATTTCGATATTTCATTTTTATTCATTTTGATTTTATTCGTTGTGATTTGGTATTTACACTGTAATTATCGTGATTATATAAAAATCACAAAGTCAAAACGTCTAATTATAATTTTCTATAGAAATTTTATATATTTATAACAGTGCATTTTTAGATACTCGAGTGATTTTTAATAAGATGTACTAATGAAAGTTCATGTTTTTTATTGTATTGTAAACTTTTTTTTATACCTTGCACTTTAATTTCTTTGCTGTAAATATTATTACTTTAGTCGTCGATAGTTCTAGTGTTAAATATTTGTCACATATATATCTTAAATATTTTAAAGTTCAATATAATATTAATCAATATTTCAATAATTCAGGACGATATTATTTTTACATGCTTGGTAGATTAAATACGTGCTCATGTAATTCTTTAAATAATGTCGTCGATAATAATGTAGTTTCACGTAAAGTCTTCTAACTCTTCAAGATTGATATAATTTATAATTTTTATTTTCATCATTTCTTCTTTTAGCTATAAATCATATAGAAATATTCTTTCTCTTTTGATCGCCAACTGAAGATGGTCTTCTTCTTAAGATATCATATTATACTTATTATAGAAGAAAAAATTTATCTTGTTCAATCAAATTTCGACCAAATATTGACAATCTCGCAATTGGCAAATAACTTCGGGGACTCGCGGGGCTCGTATCACGTCGAAATATCTGCAAAAAAGAAGAAAGAAAAAAAAGAGGAAAAAAGAAGCAGCACAGTCGACTAACTAGCACAGATAGAAGCCGGACGAAACTGAGTTCCTCGATTAGTTCGAAAATCCGAGATTCTACCAGCTACAAGTTCGGTAACGAATAGAAAAGAGACACAGATAAAAGGGGGGATACGCGAAACCCTTAAATCTTCCTTGACGTCACGACGAGCAAATTCGTCCGAGTCGTCGTGGTTTGGGGATTTTATCGGGCGGAACGATAACTAAATCAGCGAGAAAGAAAGATAAAGAGAAAGAGAGAAAAGAAAAAAAAAGGTATTAAGGAGGACAGCGACGCGTGCAGTGAAATCGTGCAATTACGACGATCGATCTCGCGGCCTCGTGCAGACTCCGTAAATCCGTGGAAATAAAGTTGCAGCTCTGCGCGACACTACAAGCTTCGAGCTTAACTGGACTAGATTTTTATTTCGCTCGAAGGTGTCGCTTTCGCGTAACTTTAACAAACGAACAGAGCTTCCTTCCCTTTCTTCTCCCCTCCCTTCGCGGTAAATTATCGAATCAACGACGTTAGTGAAAATTACGAGACAGTTTTAAGCTTTCAAATTAACTCCTTGTCGTGTGATCCTCTTTTCAATTTTCTCGGATAAGTATAGTTTACTGCGATCGTAACATTACTGGATCGTCAATGTACTGGAATTTTCGCACAGATAATTTATTCTTAAAAAGTTTAACCTAGAGTGTTTTTTTTTTTAAACAAGCTTTAATTTTTCAAACAAAAATCTAATGTTAAATTTTTAAGAGATCAACCAAGTTATACCTATAGCCGGTCTTTTTCAAATTGCAATAGATTAAAAAAGTTTTTTTTATTACAATAATTTCTTGTCGTATAAATATTCCATTGTCGAACAGAAAAAAAAAACAAATAGAAAAAACTCGCCTCGATGGTTAAAGCGTAATGTGTATGTTTAATATTTTATTACTCCAATAGATGCCGTGTATATATCCGATTCTGTGGCGATGCGCGTATTTTTAAATACGAGCTTAACAGCGGTGACGCCAAACGAAAAAAGGAGAAAATAAAATAGCGAAAAATATATTGTAATTTCAGTTGTGCAAGAATCAAGCAAAGCAAACGGTCGTCATCTTGTCGCACGTAAATTAAAATAGATAGTTATTGTTATAGTTTAAAATAGATAGTTATTGTTATAGTTTAAAATAGATAGTTATTGTTAAATCTCGTGATATATTTATCAAATGGAGTAAATCTAAAACAGATCATCGCGTGGATACCGCATATATCCGTAACGAAAGAGTTAACGATACAATCGGATAACCTTTGCTCACAGTTCACAATTCGCGCGAATTCAAGCAAAAGCAATTTGACGAGAAGATTTTTGTCATCAATTCGACGAGAAAACAAAAGCCTGGATCGTTGGCCGAGGGACAAGCCGTGAGGAATCGCCTGGAAAAGCGAGAGGCACGCGAAAATGATGAGCCGCGGCAAGCTGGGACGGGCTTTTGTCGGTGACGTCTTCAATTTCGCCGATATTAATTGCCGTGATGCTCGCGGGCTTGCTCGACGGCAGATCCGCGCATGTTTCCGCGCCGGATGCGAACAATGGCGCGGTACCGGGGAACGCGGATCGTTGGATCGTTGGATCGCCGGTGGAACGGAAACGGGGCTGATTCATCGTTTGGAAAGCCAAGTCGGATCGCCGGCCGCGTTCCTTCTTAGACTAGCTTTGGCCTTTGAAAACAGTTCTGTTGCGCAAACGCGTGACGCAAAAGGCGGGCAGATCGGTCGGATAGACCCGAAGGGGGGAATAATCGGGTCGTGTGCCGGATACTCCGTGGCGGCGGTGAACCAAAACAATGCGTCGACTGCTCGTTCCTTGTCCCTTGTGCCAGGTGAACGCGACAAGTCGCGATCGTTTGACGTCAGCCGGCCTCTGGAATGGCACACGGAATGATCGGATGATTAATTGGCGAATGGTCGACTGTGAAAGTGGCTAATTTGATCACGTGGGCGTGAACCGGGGGAGATCCGGATTGTCTCGTACGGAGATATGCCGCGTTGACGGCTCGATGATGGACGGGAACGATAAGATCTCAGTTACGTGGCTAAATAGGAAGCGTACGTTTTTTTCGGGAAATAAGCTTGACGCGGAGGAGGACACGAAGTAGTTAAATTCTGATAGTTATTCAAATATCTAAGAGGTGAAACAATGTTCCCTTTCTTTTTGGTATTTTGACACTTCAATCATTTGCGTGAATTATTTCTGGTGGCGAATGATATTTTATACTTTCTTTGACGAGACTATAGGAATTGTTTTCTTCGATCGTACAGGCTTTTGTTGCAGAAACGTTATGATGAATAAATAAGATTTAGTTTGGGATCACACGATAAAAATAACGTCTATTATTAACTTTTAAAGGGTCTTTTAATTTTAGTTTGATAATTAAAGTTTATGTTTAATTTGTATCAAATTGCCAAAGGGAGATAGAATTTCCCCCGCGTCGTTTGGAAACGTAACGAGATACTAGAGAATTATGTAAACCTTCAAATAATCTCGACACATAATATTAATATTAATTTAAAATTACAAGGTGGTCACTTGAGGATTGAAGAACATATAATAAACGAAAGATGAAAGGTATGAAAGCTATGTCGAAAGTGAAACACGTATGCGTGTTCCGTTAGGCGATAAAAATTGATTTAGCGCCACCGGGTGACAGAGTGTATTTACTTTCAAAGAATTAATGTATCAAGGTTTACACTTTGAAAGTTACTCGTTATTATACGAGCCTGTAGTTCGTAAGAAATATAATCTATAGGAGAGAAATAACGCGCTATCGTGCTTGTTTCATTAACTCCGCGGCTCATTCCCGACAAAATTTCCATATCGTTGAAACGCGCAAAGACATTTGTTCTTCCTTTAAGCGTCGCCGTGCACCGTGTAACGCGTATTAATAATTATGCGGTAAATTCACCCTCTTAATTGCGCAGTAAATCCTGACCTAGACTTAACCCAGAACCATTTAACGAAGAGATCAAATTTTGGAGGGTCACCGGCGCGCGATGGCGAAGATAGGAAACGCAAAACTTTTAAATTATAATCAACGTCTTCCATGGCTGTTTTGGTGCAATGAAAACGTAGTCTCAAGTCGCGTTTAATGATTCAGATGTTATTAAAACCTTCCTCTCTTTTTAAAGCAATT